AGAGAGAGCAGGAATATAGTGGTGTGATCAGTGTATCTTGACTCTTGACCTATCCATGTCTCTAGGCCTATGTGTCTTCTCAGCCTCTCTCTCTCTCTCTCTCTCTCCTTCCCAAAGAAAACACCCAGGGCTGAGAAAACTCCCCCGATCCCTTACTGAGACTGAATCGTTCTCAGCTGCATATTGATGAGAAAGGTGACCGTCTTGAGGGCCACTGAACCCACGCTGAGAAAAGTGAACCCACGCTGAGAGAAGTGACCCCACGCTGAGAGAAGTGACCCCACGCTGCTGCTTTACTCCTCTCGACCTAACTTAAAGTTTATTAATACTGTAAAAGCAATTATAATTTATGAGAATTTACTTTCCCTAGGTTTGGTGCAGGCCTTTTGTCCAAGAGCTGTGCCTGGTGAAATATTTTGTCCACTGGAATTTTGTTCAATAGGATTTTTGTCCAGTAGATTGTGTTCACCGCAAAGTTGTCCAGTGGAGTTTCGTGTAGTGGAATTTAGTGTCATAGAATTTCGTCTAGTCCGCTAGGGAATTTGTCGAATGGGATTTTTGTCCCTTCACTCCGCGACACATATGGCCCTCTTCCCAAAGGGTCTCTACATTATGCAAGTAAAACCCAGACGAGGAAGGAGTGGTAGAGAGTCTGTCAACACAGTATAATACCTCAGTATGTCAGCAGTGTTATATAAACAGTACGTCAGCAGTGTGAGGTGAGCAGTATGTCAACAGTGTGAGATGAGCAGTATGTCAACTGATTTGAAAACAGTGGACGACGGACACGATTATGATGTGGTAAACGTCGACTTTACTGCAGCCTTCGACAGAGTCCCCTATGAAAGACTAATATGTAAAGTGGAGGCTCACGGCATTGGAGGAGATATTCTAAAATGGATTAGGGCCTGGTTACAGGACAGGAAACGGCTAGTAAGCATTAACGGCACTAAATCCCATTGGGGTAACGTCACTAGTGGAGCACCCCACTCAGTACTTGGACCTTGACTATTTATTATAAACATAAGCGACATATGTTAGTTTATCTCGACGAATTGTTGAAAACACCAATAAGCCTCCCTCAAGTCTTATGATGGAACCACCTTTGTGTTTATTTGATATCTTCTTATATTGAACGAGAGGTGTGGCTCCCATGGCACATTGTTGTTAGTGGATACCCAATTTTACAGTTAGGGATTTGAAGGAGGTCAAGTAAAGTGCCTCATTTTGTACTGAATGCTTATTACACAGTTCGCTGCATCTAAACTCCCCTATTACACGTATTGGTTTGCTGTGTCTGGAGGCTGTTGTCGCCGCTGATGTATTGTCAACATACCGGCGTGACTCTACCTCTGCCTCACTCCCTTACTACACTTATTAGTGGCGGCCGCTGCGTAATGACCCTCTTATATTAAAGGTAAACAGGGGCCAACGGCTTCTGTAATAGGACATGAATATATATATATATATATATATATATATATATATATATATATATATATATATATATATATATATATATATATATATATATATATATATATATATATATATATATATATATATATATATATATATATATATATATATATATATATATATATATATATATATATATACCAGCGTAACGTCCCATTCCTTTAACACTGAGCCATCTACTCCAGGTATCAGCGAAAAGTTTAGTTTGAAGAATATTCTCCAAAAACGGACACAGGTTTTTTCACGGCCAGAAAAGGGTGCACGGGATATTTGCGTGAAGTGATGCCACTCTGGTACAAACTACACACACACTTTCTCAGTTTTTCAGTTTTACGAAGACCTGCCGTCCATAAACCCGGCGGTGAACCATCTTCTCAGTGGCTACGCTCGTGCTTCTGCCGTTATATGTGCAATTTGTCACTACAAAAATCCTTAAATATAAAAAAATCTTACGCGTGAAGGTCATGGTATATAAAAATATTTCCTGCATTTATCACGTCACAGTTTTTTTCATCATCAGTGTTTTTATTTTATCTTTATACTACCTACAAGTTGCGCAGCTACTGAGACCCAGACGAATTTCCACGAAGAAGTGGTTAACAAGCGTGATACAAGAAGACTACCCTGACAGCACACAACATAAGTGGCAGCTGACGAGGCATAAATACAATTCTCCCAAATCTCTCTCGATTACTATCTGAAAGTTGCAAACATTCACCTATATTATGTCTCCTTAAAGATCCTGAACATTTTTGTTTATTTCGAAAATTATCTCCCTCGGATCTTGTAATTTTTTCAGTTGTTATGATTTAAATAATTAATCAATCAATCAGTTTATTTTGATAAATAAACTAGTAACCCTGTGGTAACTTAACCCCCTCCCACCAATAACACTATTTCACTTAAAAACAAAAGCAGAACTGGATCTACCTCCCCGTAATCCACTCATCACCATCTTTAAAATACTCGCTATTTTTTACATATTCCGCTCCTTCGTGTGGATGTAAAATTAACTTTGAAACTTACTATAACAAAGTATCTTGTATCATTATAGCTGCAGTAACCCCAAATACCAATCAATGTACTACAGCTACAAAAAGTATCTGTAAGGGGGAGGGGAGGGGGGGGGGCAATGGAGTACGATGAATTTCAAAATGAACACTGCGACTCCTGTTGTCTCAGTAGGGTTGTCAAAATCCTTCCTCCGACTACCTGGACCATCAATAATCAAATAAACAATCAAATAAATAATCAAATAATCAAATAATCAAATACATAATCAAATAATCAAATATGTAGTATGTATGAAGTAGCGTATTTATTGCCTTCGTGTATAAGTTGATAATGACAACAACACCATGAAACTTGAACTTTGACCGAGAAATGCAATACAGTATAAACTAGACCCAACTCCCTCGCCATCAACAAGCGGGAATGTTTGGAAGCAGTTGTTGCCCACCAGCTTAACGTGCCTCAACCTCAGACCCATTGGAATATACAATACACACTGTGGCAGATAACATGAACAATCACTCAAATGGTCATCCACTAACAATACACTACTGATGAATAACACCTAAAAACATAGGTTCCGATAATACACAAATCCACAATGCGCGAATCGGCAATTACACACACAAAAATCTGTACTTAAATCCACCAATGCAAAAAATCCATCAATTCAAGAATTTAATTGATCATGAAAATCCACACTCGTGAAAAAAAGTACATATAGAAATAAAAGCAGAGTTGTGGGTGAAACAAACCATCACGGGTAATGTGTGGGAGTAATCAAGACGCTGTTTGTAGGAGGCACAACACACCATGCATACCTTGAGTTTATTTGTCATTATGTGATGATAAACTAAGGTCACTCTTGGTCTAACACTTGAACCTTTATTCGTTTTACTTTCACGCAGAAGAGTTTTACTGACAGGGAACATAATTAATGAAGACAAAGATGAAGAGAAAGACGCTTGGGAGGACGAGTCTGCAGTGACGTAATGAACTACACTGTATTGATTTTAAGAAATGTGAAGTGAAGGAGGTGATGGAGTGAAGGAACTGGTGGAGTGATGGAGGTGATGGAGTGACGGAGGTGATGGAGACGGAGGTGGTGGAGTGGAGATGATGGAGAGAAAATACTGTGGGGGGAGGCTTGAACTGGAGCACTGACTTGAAGGTTAAGGACGATCTCTCTCTCTCTCTCTCTCTCTGACACTGTTCCACGAGGGAGTAAACAAGACCCTTACAGCGCTATGTAACCGAGGAAGAGAGGCCGAATTTTCTGCTATTATTTTTGTTACGGTGAGCGTAAGAAAAGTGTTGATGGATGATGGAAATAAGGTGTTGCCCGGGTTTTAAAAGGGGGTAAAAATTCTTTGGCTTTCAAAACTATTGTTGGCGTCATAGTTTTTGTAGCGCCGAAAGCTTCACGGTGCTGTGTGCATTGACTGTGAGTAAGATTTATGAAGGCGATCATCCAGAAGGGTCGCTGAGGGAATATGGCTGATATTCTAGGAGGAGGGATTGTAACCACACTTTTATGGAGTAAAGGCGTCCTTGGAGAGTTTGGGATATTCGTGACGCGTCGAGGCATCTGTTGAGTGTACGAAATGTTAAGAAAATCTGAAAAAACATATCGCTAATTATCGGGTAATTAACAGGATGTGCGAACACAACTAGTTTGAAATACCATATTTTGATATTGATATTGAAACTATTTAGCCAGAAAAACACACATAAAGAGTCATAAAAATAACAATATTAACATGGCTGAGCCTGTTGAGAGTGTGAGCTCTCTTGAAGGCACCTGATATACAGTATATTGCACATTTATCTCAAGGAAGTATTATGTAACATTTAGTATATCTGGAATAGTAAACGTAACATGGTGGTAGTAAGAACATATCAAATGTTACCACGGTTATCACTTCGATGTTTTTGCATTTATATTATAAGTATATACATATTTTAGTGGTGTTGATATACACAAATATGATAATGGAGGGAAGCAGTACAACATGGGTTGTTTTAAGCTGGAACAAGAGGACAGAGCTGTCAGTATCATGTCTAGTTGGCAAATATAATTATTGCAATGGTAATTTCCATATATCTACATGACAATTTATGATATAATGGTTTTGGTGGTACAATAAAAACAGGAATATAATATAGGTATTACAAAAATATTAATACTTATACCCATTCTTAGCACCAGAGACAATTTCGATAACATTCGTGTTGCAAAACGCGAGCAAACAGGTGACTCTTCTGAATTATCTGGAACACCAAAAGCTTCTGGAAGTTTATCCTAAGGCAAGTTATAAGAGTGGGATGTGAGAATATTGAGCAGAGCGAGACTATACTGACTTCACGAGTTCGTAAGACATCGAGAAAATTTTTATCTGCCACAGATATCGCAAGGCTGGCACAGTCAAATCATAGCTGGCGAACAAATGTTATATGTAAGCGAGAAATAGTGTCATTAACCTATTTTTACATTCTACTGTCTCTTCCAGGAGTGGTCCCTGCCGACCTACCATAACCTAAGCCATCAGGGCGACACGAGCATCATGAACGGGACCGTGAACACAAAAGAACTGATGGCGTGGCTGCTGAAAAACCTCCCGGCTTTCAACTTGTCAGATAAAGATAGAATGGACACTGTTACGGCGCTCTTGGGGAACGATAATGTCTCCTCCAACATCACCGAGGAGGAGGACGCCTTCAACCAACAGTACTGCCAGTTCAGTGAGTGACAAACCTCATCCCTATTTCTCAGTCAGTTTCTTTCTCTACATATTTACATCCTCACTCCATAACCTTCCAACATTTTCGATTTCTCATTTTCTCATTCACTATTCCTGACCATTCTTTCCACACTCACAATGAAATGTGTTGTAAACCCCCTTTTATCTTCATAAGCTACATATATACACAAATACAAACACACATACATACTTACACACACACACACATGAATATATATACACACACATATACATGCATATATAAAATAGTACACATACATACACACATTCACATACACAGACACCGAGTCACCGATAATACCACACACACAATTATACAGAAACACATAGTGAAATTATTTAGTAATTCGCCATCCGAGTATGAATTCTTAATGACACTTTTTGGACTGACTAAGTATTGGCTGTGTCAGTGAGTGTGGGAGGAGGGAGTGTGCTGACCTCTGGGTGTGGGAGGAAGGAGTGTGGTGACCTCTGGGTGTGGGAGGAGGGAGTGTGGTGACCTCCAAGTGGGGGAGGATATTGATATCGAAACAGTTTATTTAGTCAGAAAAAATACAGATGCAGAATGAACAATACTAACAATATTGACATGGTTGAGCCAAGTGGGAGCCTGAGTTGTCTTAGGACAGAATGTTATGGAGAGGAGATCTGATATTTATATGAAGGTTTCCAGGAATAAAAGAACATGAGCGAGTTAGATAATGGACTCACCCAAGTCATTTTATCTCAGGGTGTAAGTATAACCGTTCTCCTCTGCCCTTCAGACTTCAAGGAACAGTACAAATGGCTACACTACCGCTTGGCCGTGTGTATCGCTGTGACGGGTGCCATTGCCAACTTCCTGACGGTGAGTACCCTGACACGGCGTAACATGGCTACGCCCACTAACCTACTGCTGTTGGGGCTGGCGGTGGCTGACCTGCTGGTGGAGGTGGAGTACATCCCCTACGCCACATCCACGCTTATAGGGGGCGACCAAATCATGGAGGCCAAGGAGCACGCCCTATATGTCCTCGTCCACGCCCACCTCTCACAAGTCTGTCATACAGTACGTGTTCTACTTGCTACATGACACGTGTCCTAATTGTTTCAAACGGTAACACGTATCTTTTTGCATAATAAGTGTCCTACAGGTACTTGTTACATTTGTATGTAATGTGTAGAATACTAAAGGTGATGATTGTAGAGGTGTGGGCTGTGTTTACAGATCGCTATATGGTTGACGGTGTCGTTGGCACTATGGAGGTGGGTGGCTGTGTGTCGGCCCCACGCTGCCCCCACAGTGTGCACCATGTTAAACGCCCGCCGCGTCATGCTGGTCGTGTACTTCGCCTGCCCGGCCCTGGCCATGCCAACCTTCTTCATGTACGCAGTTAAGGAGGTGTCCAACGATGACGGATCAAAGGTTTACTACGTAGACTTTTCTTCTTTCGCCCTCGCCCACAATGAACTCCTCAAGAAGGTAAGGTAAATGGGAGACGGAACTGTGGGGTGAACAGTAAATATTATCTTAACTGGAGATGTAGGAGCATCACTGAGTGGATCATTATATTATATTATGGTGGTGAGAACTGTGTAAAATGCACTGAGAATACCCCAAGTGGATGCAATCCCCGACCCTTACTGAGGGGTAAAACTAACCTTTGATAATCCGGAGCCTTTATCTTTATGGTACCATGACATTATGAGGGACGATGTCTCAGGAGTCGAGTTACCTTAACATGTTAGGTCGCTGTCACCACACCCGGCGTGGGGAAGTGTGGCCCAATACTCAAGATCTCTCATCCCTGGGTGTAAGAGGACGGATCTACTTACAGCTGTCTCAGTACCTATTCGGCCAAATATAAGCAGACTATAGTGTTGTTTTCTTGTAAATTAGTAGTTGGGTGTTTTAATGCAACAGTAGGGAGGAGAAAAGAAGCACCACAAGTAGAACCACAGAGGTTGAGTAGAAGAAATAAAAGAGGAGGGAGATTAATTGATCTTTGTAAGGAAAGCAAAGTGATAATTACAAGTCCATGACTTCAGAATCACCACGAAGAACAAGATATGGAACAAAATTATATAAAATAGGTAACGGTAGAGTGTGGTGGGAACCTTGCAGAACAAAAGACGAAGCAGAATAAAAATGAATGGATCACAAAGAAATTTTAAAGAAAACAGAAAAAGAGACTGAAAAATATACTATAAGGTTTTAGATCCTTACAGGAGACAGAACTACAGGTAAATGCACAGAAAGATAAAATATATGAACCAAAGAAAAGGACATAAATGAGTCTGGATTATAATAGCCAAGAGAGATACTCACTAACCAGATTGGGGGTAAGAAAGAAGCAGGAAATACAGAATAAGATAACAATTAAGGAAACAAATTGAGGCATATGTGAGCGAATTGACGAGTGATAAATCTTGTAGGGTTGATTATCTTCCAATAAAACTTCGAAAACAAGTGGTCTAAAATAAGATCATACGTGTGGCTAAAATAAGTCTCTTATATTCTTCAAATGACATCTTACCAGTGTTTGTATTATTACCTAAAACCACCCTTATTGTGCATCCAGTAGCTGCTTAAGTCATGTCTCTAAAGTTTTAATAAATACTATTATTTTAAGAATAATAATATTTAGAAAAGACAGTGAGGTATCTGAAAATCATAATGGGTTTAGAAAGGGAAAGGCACTAGAGAAACTATGTGTTGTTAATTCCTTAAAAAAAATAAAATAAACGTACTAGTTGGTTCAGGGTTGTAGACAAGGCAGCGATCTATATCCAACATTGTATAATATCCACTCATAACTCTTATTGAGATGTTTTAAGAGACGAGACATAAAAGTTAATGGTAAGTAATATTAAATATACCCTATGCAGATAATACTGCTCTTATCACGAATAGTAAAGAGGCGTTATACAAAAAAATCCGATTATTAGAAAAAGGTGAAGAAATAGGTTAAGAGCTAGTGACGAAAGTGGTGGTTGTTTCTAAATTTGAAATAAATCCTGAACTAAAAATTATTGTATACAAGAGAGAACTTAGGTGGATTTTGGTGTGAGGAAAACATTAGTTATGATGATAGAGTTGCAAACTATTAAAAAAAATGGTGAAGCAATAAACCTATGAATAATATAAGAGATCAGATGAGATATAAGACGTTAATTACAATTTAAGTAAAAGGCAGTTGGAGTGATTCATATGTAGAGGACAGAAGCATAGACACCAGGAGGAGGCTGGAGACCTCTGATAAACAGTGATGCAGGAGAATGATAAAAAAAATAAGGAAGACGTACTTAGACCGGCAAAAACAAGTAGAATTAAGAAAATGTGGTGTGGTAAACAACAGGCCAAAAACGCCTAGAGTGGAGGACCCTGCAGGGTCGCTCACTCTCCGACAGGAGGATTGCACTATGATTGATTGATTTTTGTATCGTTGAATAATTAAATAAATCAGTGATATGTCCTCTCACATCTCCAGTTCTGTAAACCAAACGTAGTAATTTTACAGAATCAAGGTCTGGCTTCCTGGGGAGTGAAAATTACAGTGATATAGCTCCATGTTGTAGATGAACAGGTGCAGGGTAGATTGAGTTTTTGGTGTACACCAAAGTGTGTGTGTGTGTGTGTTGAGGTCAACCTGCTGGTGTACATTAAAGTGTATGTGCGTGTGATGCAGATCAACTTGCTGGTGTTCAGCGTGGTGGTGAAGTTAATTCCGTGTGTGCTGCTGACCCTGCTCTTGCCTGCCATCATCCGCGGCATGTGGGTGGCCAAGAGGCGGAGGCAGCGGCTGGTGTGCCGCAGGCCTTCAGGTGTCGTGACCACTACCAACGGCGCCGCCAACAACAACACCACCAGAGCCAGCGTCTCACGGTCAAGTTATAGAAATAAGCTGTGTGGCAGGAGATCCGTGTCCGTGGCCAACGGCACCGACCAACCCAAGACCCACAAGAAAGGAGAGGTGAGTGATGTCTCTCGCTTTACTGTATATTCAGCTCCTTACTAAAATCATCCTTTTATTTACTACTCATTCTTTTATTTTAAGAGTAAAAAAAAATAAAATCATGAGTTTACCGAGATATTTTATTTGAAAAATAAATATTGTATATATTACATGAATTGTCTTACCATTAAGAGTGCACGTGTACAGCCCAGCATCTGTTAATACAAGGATAAGATAGTTACTGCTTATGACAAGAGTGATGATACGACACGCTGTTAACTTCAATATATCCACGCAAATTTTTATTGAGTATTGTGGACAAAATTATTATTGTACTACAGGAAGGGCCGGAGGTGTCACATCAGTCACATTACCTCTCTATCCTACAATATCATGGTCTTTATATAATTACATCCCGCTTATAGTAATAAAACTGTGTCCTATCTTCTTCCTCATAACAACAGTACAGGTGTGGGTGTAAGTGCCAAGAAAGAACCAAGCACAATAAAGGTTACAGTAGCAGGTTAATATTAATAAGTTGCCACCACCTACTCATAAATTGAATCTTATATAGGGATAAAATAAAAAATATAAATGATTTATTCTATAGGGTTTCCGTCAGGAATTTAAATTTTTCGAATATTTTAACTGATAAAATTACCCACAATATTAGTTGTCCAAAGTAGGCAGGACTTTGAAGTAGAAAGAAAATATAAAAGTAGGAGTTGGCAACTTCTAAATATTAACCAGTAACATGGTAGTGAAAGATAATACAGGTTTTCATCGCAAAATATTATAAGTACTATCATGAAAATCTTAGGGCTAGTAGACACATCTTTAGTGGCGGTCTACTTTATGATATGGAAGGAACAAACTGCTTTATCACACAAGAGTTACTCCCTTACTCCCGTCCTTGATCTTCATGGAGTTTCTCTCTTAGTGACAGTGACTTTTTATCTTCTCTTATTGGTAGAACTTTGCAATTATTTTAAAATTAAAATTGGTTATGACAGTAAACGTCGTCATAAATGCCAAAGTTTTTTCTCAATATCCAGTATGTACTAATTTCTTTAAAGATACAACAATAAAGATAAAAAATCATCAGTATTTCGCTTTATTGGACAAATACCCATAAAACAACGTGAGAATCTAAGTCTCCCAGAGGACAGTGACCTCTCCAAGGGTCACCCGCCTCACTAACCAATGGAGAAGAATGGGACGTGGAGGCTGTGTTCTCTAGATGTATTCATCCGAGTGAGTTCTAGAGACGAGGGACCACCAGGAGGAGGATGACGGGAGAGAGGGAGAAACACAGAAGAAGGGATAATTAAGGGGAAAATAAGAAATCTGGATAAGTGAAAAGAGGGCATAAGAAATACAAAGAGAGAGAGAGAGAGAGAGAGAGAGGGGGGGAGAGAGAGAGGAGTAGGGTGAAGTGAGAAAGAGGTGCAGTCTGAGGAGTGGTGAGGTGAGGTACGGGGAGGTACAGGCTGTGGACTGGTGAGGTGGGGTAGGGGTGAGGTACAGGCTGTGGACTGGTGAGGTGGGGTAGGGGAGAAGTATATGTACGCCTGTAATGTAATCAAGATGCTGCGCGTGGCACAGTGGGGTGTCAATTGTCTTGGTATGTAGATGAAGACTCGCTCGGCTGCCCCCGCTCACCCCCCCCACATATATTAACAAGAGCCTCCATAATTACTCAGTCTTTAGACTCGATTCAACTGATCTATCGAGTCTCCATTCAGTGATGAAGCCTAAATTTATGTTCTGTGTGACTGGATGCTCTTACTTGAACACCGTGGAAATTCTGCACGTGAACGCAAATGCAAGCATGTGTGTGTGTGTGTGTGTGTGTGTGTGTGTGTGTGTGTGTGTGTGTGTGTGTGTGTGTGTGATGAACACGGGTATGGTTAAGACCCGTTGGCATTGCCTGAGGTAGTACAGTACTAAGTAGTACATCATCATCCCCCTTTTTTTACAGTTTTCTGGACAGGTAAAATATGTTATCTTCATTTTCAGCGCAGGGACAGTCTCTTCGCTATAGTCTTCACAAAGGTATTGTGTTTTGGTTATCATCGGAATACCTTCTCAGCTAACACAATCTCGCGCATGTAACATATATTTATCTATGTCATAATTACAGTTGATACCTTGTTATACCAAACTCCCCTAAGGCTCACTCCTTGGGTTAAAATTATTATGTCTGAGTAACTCTGGTAGCTGGCACCTCGATACTAATAACTGCTGCTGCGGCTTACCCACCCAGTCACTGACACCACGGAGAGCGCCACGGTGTAGCTTATATTTGTACTAAAGGGAGTACACAGCGGGATTATGTGTACTAATTGATATTCATGTAAAGAAATGTTTGTTTTTTTCATTTACTGTATTGTACATATCACACACCCAATCTTCCACCCCCTCCTGCAGCTAAACACACAGATGGTGATAATTTACCAGCCCCATGAGCACGAGTACAATGGCTTAATCGCTTGAGTACGATGCCTAAACCTTTTGAATACGATGCCCTATTTCTTTGAGTAAAATGAAATTGTACTCAGGGGGCAAAATTATCGTACTCAGGGATCTAAATTTCAGTACTTATGGCGTTGAACAAAAAAACAATTGATTAAGAATATTTGATTATGGTTATGGGGAGGAAATTTGTCTTGTTTTATGTAAAGTAAATTAATGTTATTGAAAGGTAAAATTGGATGGTGTCAAGGTAGAAATGATGACTAGGTGTTGTCAATGTAGGAATGGTGACTCTAGGTGTTGTCAAGGTAGGAATGGTGACTCTAGGTGTTGTCAATGTAGGAATGGTGACTCTAGGTGTTGTCAAGGTAGGAATGGTGACTCTAGGTGTTGTCAATGTAGGAATGGTGACTCTAGGTGTTGTCAAGGTAGGAATGGTGACTCTAGGTGTTGTTAAGGTAGGAATGGTGACTCTAGGTGTTGTCAAGGTAGGAATGGTGACTCTAGGTGTTGTCAAGGTAGGAATGGTGACTCTAGGTGTTGTTAAGGTAGGAATGGTGACTCTATAAGGTGGAATGACTCTAGGTGTTGTTAAGGGCAGGAATGGTGACTCTAGGTGTTGTTAAGGTAGGAATGGTGACTCTAGGGTGTTGCCAAGGTAGGAATGGTGACTCTAGGGTGTTGTTAAGGTAGGAATGGTGACTCTAGGTGTTGTAAAGGTAGGAATGGTGACTCTAGGTGTTGTCCAGGTAGGAATGGTGACTCTAGGTGTTGTTGAATGGTGACTCTAGGTGTTGTTAGGTGAATGGTGACTCTAGGTTAAGGTAGGAACTCTCCAGGTGTTGTGAATGGTGACTCTAGGTGTTGTCCAGGTAGGAATGGTGACTCTAGGTGTTGTTAAGGTAGGAATGGTGACTTAGGTGTTAAGGTAGGAATGGTGACTCTAGGTGTTGTTAGGTAGGAATGGTGACTCTAGGTGTTGTCAAGGTAGGAATGGTGACTCTAGGTGTTGTCAAGGTAGGAATGGTGACTCTAGGTGTTGTCAAGGTAGGAATGGTGACTCTAGGTGTTGTAAAGGTAGGAATGGTGACTCTAGGTGTTGTCAAGGTAGGAATGGTGACTCTAGGTGTTGTCAAGGTAGGAATGGTGACTCTAGGTGTTGTCAAGGTAGGAATGGTGACTCTAGGTGTTGTCAAGGTAGGAATGGTGACTCTAGGTGTTGTCAAGATAGGAATGGTGACTCTAGGTGTTGTTAAGGTAGGAATGGTGACTCTAGGTGTTGTTAAGGTAGGAATGGTGACTCTAGGTGTTGTTAAGGTAGGAATGGTGACTCTAGGTGTTGTTAAGGTAGGAATGGTGACTCTAGGTGTTGTCAAGGTAGGAATGGTGACTCTAGGTGTTGTCAAGGTAGGAATGGTGACTCTAGGTGTTGTCAAGGTAGGAATGGTGACTCTATGTGTTGTCAGGGCAAGAATGGTGATTGAGTCTTGTCAAGGGAAGAATGACGACTACTCACATGGAGGAATGGTGACGATTACCACCGGGGTACACTTATAGACCCACCAGGTAGTTTCATTTCTTATCCCTTGTGTTCACTTAAAACTCTCCGCTATTGCTTATTAACACGTAAAGCTTGTACTGTACATAACCAATACTCAAAGATAACCTAAGAAAAATATACTGTATATAAAGTCGCCATTAATATTTCTATTAACAACACTGCACTAGTTACACTTGGCGTCTGTTGAAAATTTGCTCAGGGCTCGATTTTCTTTTTTTTTTTAACGAATGGTCCTACAACACAAGTAGTACATCATTCTATTGTTCCTTGGTTAGTAGCGTAAGGTGTGCAGGGGCCGAGGAAGTGAAGGCCACAGTGTTCCGATAAAAGGCTTAGTATTGTGTGCTCTGTACCCACACTGACCGTAAGGCTTGAGGGGGGTCCACTGGTCACGTATACATTATCACCACATGTATCAGATGATTAAAAGGCACTGGACCATATGATTACTGTATACTACTCGTACAAACGACTGGATGAACAAACTTCTCGACCCCTGTGTGGTGTAGAGTTATACTTATAATCCATTACCTAGATATAAAGCTTCAACATTTACACGAGCTCAGACATTTAGGTGACCAATAAGCTTGAGTTTTTTCTTTTTATAATTTCGAACACCCACATACACCCACACACACACACTTTCAAAGAGACTTTTTTCCCGAGAAAACGATAGTTGACCTCATCGGCCTGACGACCTTTTAGGGACAGTGTGGATACAACACACTATACATTAACTTTTCGGTACATTTAACTGCCTTCACTGCCGGACTGTAGGTACCCATGTACAGCAAGATGTATTGGGTGGCAGAGTATCGAACCATCAACCCCGAGAAGAGGAAACGTACATTATATCCACTCGGCCACTGCACCACCTTTTCTAAGTGTTATCTTCAGTAAATAAATATTCTGAAAAATACAAGTGTTCTGGATATACTGTGGTCTCGTAAATTCAGGTTCTACCAGTTGACAAATATTGTATAGTGAGCGTTACTGTGCCATGATAGAGGCAGTGTGTACTGTACAGCGAGGAGCTGGTGAGCATTAACGACCTCTCTTATACAGGGCGCCACAGAACGGACCACCAGTATGCTGCTGGTGGTGATGCTGCTCTTCCTGCTGACAGAGGCGCCAAATGGAGTCCTCACGGGACTCTCGCTTGTCTACGGTCACGACTTCTTCAAGTGGGTAGCAAATTGTTATTATCTTACAAAATAAATCAGTAAGTAATAAGATATTGTAAGTCCTCCCAACATTAAATAAAAAAATCATTCTTCACTAAAAATCGCAATATTCTGATAAAAAAGTTTATGTCGTAGAGGAAAGCGAGTTCGGCCTGTGGAAAGTAAATTAAATAAGTTTATATAGATGTACATTTGTTCATTTATTAAAGGTAAAATAGCTTAACTACACATTTGTTGGGATATTTGGGTACCATTACACTCATGTTCCTGAATGAGTTGGTTTCCAGGTTAATTAAAGCCACCGGAGACACCAGAGCAACCCAGTGAGGGAATGTTTGCTGCACAATAAGAAGTCGGTGACACACAGTCACCGACTTCTTCTGAAGTGGCGCTTGTTGTGCCTAAAATGAGGCTACAAATTTTTAATCTATATTTTTAGAAATAGCGCAATACTTTTTTATGTGAAGAAAAAGTTTCACCAGCACCCTTGGTGTCCAACAGTGACTGTTATATTCAGCTGGGGGACTTCATGGACTTGTTGGCGCTCATCAACTCAGCGATCAACTTTGTGCTGTATTGCGTCATGAGTGAGCAGTTCCGAGGAACCTTCGTCAGCATCTACTGCAACTGCTGCAAGAAAGACACTCCGGAGTCCCAGGCGCCCACCAGGACCAATACAAAGAACTGCAAAGTTCTTAACACTAAGATATGAATCCTCTCTCTCATACACACACACACGGTAGCTAGGTTCCCTCATTTCACACTTCCTCATTTGGGAATAACTCGAACGCTACTGTGACACTCACGACCTCTGGACACAGCTGATGGCTAACACTAATTATACTGGTGAGTGTTGTGTGGTGTGGCGGATGACTGGTGAGTGTTGTGTGGCGGTATGGGTGACTGGTGAGTGTTGTGTGGTGGTATGGGTGACTGGTGAGTGTTGTGTGGCGGTATGGGTGACTGGTGAGTGTTGTGTGGCGGTATGGGTGACTGGTGAGTGTTGTGTGGTGTGGAGGGTGACTGGTGAGTGTTGTGTGGCGGTATGGGTGACTGGTGAGTGTGTGTGGTGTGGCGGTATGACTGGTGAGTGTTGTGTGGCGGTATGGGTGACTGGTGGGTGTTGGTAGTATGGGTGAATGGTGAGGTGTTGTGTGTGGTGGAGGGTGACTGGTGAATGTTGTGTGGCGGTATGGGTGACTGGTGAGTGTTGTGTGGCGGTATGGGTGTGAGTCGGTATGGGTGACTGGTGAGTGTTGCGTGGCGGTATGGGTGACTGGTGAGTGTGGTGTGTGGCGGTATGGGTGACTGGTGAGTGTTGCGTGGCGGTATGGGTGACTGGTGAGTGCTGTGTGGCGGTATGGGTGACTGGTGAGTGTTGTGTGGTGTAGAGGGTGACTGGTGAGTGTTGCGTGGCGGTATGGGTGACTGGTGAGTGTTGTGGAGCGGGACAGGTGCTAATAAGTGTCGTGGAAGGCATAGTCAATTCCGTCTTTAAAACACACACACACACACACACACACACACCATAGAGGTAAATCTTCCAGAAAAAATGCACATGAACCCATTGCTGTGCGAGTGTGTATATTCATCTTCGTTCATAATAAAATTTTCACTGGACTAAATGAACTTCTCAACTCTGCACACAATATATATATACAGCTGATGTACCGAGAATACTGACACCACACCACCATCACCACAGTGGTCTGGTCTAGCGAGTGTAGACCAGCAAGAGCTTTGTAAGAGTTGACCCTTGATAGAACTGCTGATGACTCTTTTGCTTTATTTTCCAATACTTGTCTCCAGTAAAGGAAAAAATCACCATTTCCCATGACTCCAGGTATTTCCACAGATGTACAAAATGCTCCATAATATACATAAGGGACCCCAATATGTTCAATATATCTTACCATCACAGTTACATTCATTACTCTCTCAAAACATTATGTGCTTCTTTACAAACGTGTACATATGTTACCAAATTGTATATCTATATATTGTACAAATATCTAAAGAAGAAATATAGTTTATAATGTGTTGTTTGGTGTGAGTGTTACACCAGTCAGATATAGGGCCTTAGGTATTTCTCTGTTTTCTTTTTTTATAAGTACTGTCTTATCTGTTTACCTCGCTCGTGTATTCTTAACTGAGCCCGTTTACAATAGAGCGAGTTACGTGTCTATTTTATTCATCTTGTAAGTTAGGATGAGAAACTTATCCTCGGTAATACAAGTTTTATGCCGCTCACTCTTAAAAACCACAACAATAAATATGCAAATACCTTTTTTTTTCAGTAACCCTTGAGTGTGTTCAAGAGTTTACCTGATTAAGCGAACATCATAAGACTTCTTAGAGGTGTATACAGGAGCTTTATGCATGATGCGCTCTAAGGAAATCCGTAAAAATACTACCGTGTAACGATCTGTCTATGTTTTTTTAATACTGTATTGTGTACATCGGAAAATCAATTATTTTTAGTCCTAGCTGTACAAAAACGCTGTTATAAAATGTACTTAAATCTGAAACAATAATGTAATCATTCAACATAATGAAATAAATAAGATCACCATAACTCAAGTGTTTTGTTGTCTTCATTATGTGTGGTGCAGGTTAAAGTCGAACCTCTAGAAAAAGATGAATAAAAGGTGTGGATCATAACATATTGTGGTAACTGCACAAATTCTACAACACAAGAAACAATATGTGACACAGCCTTCTTGAGTAGACCTCTCCTTAATCAGTGGGTCTTATCCATACGTTCATCACAGAGTGGGCCCCTCTCCTTACGTTCATCACAGAGTGGGCTCCTCCCTTTAACTATTCACACACACAACAGACCCTCTACACTCCATCAGTACATGACGTTCACTTTCTTTACCTGGCCAGCTTAATACACACAGAGGCCCCTCACCTCATCACACCTCTACATGTAGTTCCCAAGCCACCGTGAAAAACCAGTACAATGCCTATCAAATGTCCTGGTTAGGGTTGTACTATGGCACAGTTACACCAAGAAGATTTTTTCTTTAAGCGTTGGTGTTGAGAGAGGAAGTAAATCATCCAATTAAAGTGTTAGACAATACGGTAACAAGAAATACGTTTTCTGTTAGCGGACATACTGTATATATTGTTCACTCATATTGTTTCAGTTACAGGTTATATAAAGTAATAGGAACTCTGGGGTTTTTTCCCTATCTTCAATAATGTAATGGTGATCCAGCTGTGACTTAAACAGTGTGTGTGTGTGTGTGTGTGTGTGTGTGTGTGTGTGTGTGTGTGTGTGTATGTTCCTTTGCTGTTAAAGACAGTTTTGACTGACAATGGTCTGATGATTTCTGTTTTCGTGTTTACAAGACTTGCGACTTTACCGGTGCTGCTTGACCAGGTTAAAGGATTGGTGACAGTCCTCTCATTAAAAAGTTTCGGGATGCTTTTATCAAGTCTTCTCAGCTTTGGCATCTCTCTGGGGACTCCAACTTTAAATCTAATTCGTTCTTCTCTGTCTCTGACCTTCCCCTTGCCCTCCTACCCTCAGTTTTACCAATTAGTATCTCACTTTTTCTTTGTAATATCCAGTATTATTCTCTAGCCAATCTTAATACTTTCATTTGTTTTATTAAGTGAGTAACTTAACTGCAGCATTCTCCTCTTGCACCACGTTTCAGAAGCCTCTACCTTCCTTATGGTTAATGTGTAAAGATGTACAGTAATTCCCATAAACTTGCAGTATCATTGCACTTCCCTGGTATAAAGGGTGGGAGTGATTTTTAATAATTAAATGATAAAAAAATACTCTTGCACAAATTAAGACAAAAATGACCAGAAAGATGACTTTTTGTGTTAACCATCAGGGTACCGCAGGTTGCCACTGAACACCGATATAATACGCGACACATTTTCTGGCCTTTCCCACCTGGCATCTACTGTACTTGTCACTATCATATTAATAAGAGGTGAGGCAAACGAGTGGATAACGTGTTCGCCTCCCGTCCCAAGGGTCACCTGTTAGATCCAGGGGCACTTCCATTCCATCCAACAGTTAATGGGTACCCGATTTAAAAGTTGGGAAGTGAAGGAGGTCAGGCAAAAAACCGATGCGTAAGCATTTTTTTTTTTATTGGGCACCCCCCTACAGCCTTGTGCAAGGTGAAGCGCAGAAGCGTTTACAGTGCCCAACAGGGAAGCATGCTAAGTTCATGCTTGCCTTTATGTCTCATGAGTTAAGGGCGTAGAAGCCTGAAGAGTCAAGGGCATCGAAGCCTGAAGAGTCAATGGTTTAAGTCATCAAGTTATTGGAAGCTCCAACAACTTGTCCCTGAATACGAATTCGCAACTTTCGATTTACACCAGGTACCTACTTTACTGCTAGGTGAACAGGGACTAATGGGGGCTAGGAAGTATGTCCAAATAACTTCCACCGGCACGGGAATCGAACCCGTGACATCTCGCTTGCGAAGGCAAGAGCGGTACCACTCTACCACCAGCACCCCCTGCGTAAGTATGCAGTGTGCTTTATCCACACTGCCCCTATAGGTCAGTCATTCCAATGGGACTCACTTTCACATTCTGTAACACGACTGGCGAGACTGTGAGAGAGTTTCGTTGTTATGATGAAAATCAGAAGTGACGAGGAGGTACATATGTGTGTCAGGAAACTATGGCTGAGATATGCTTCATTACATTAATACCGGTGGTGGGAAAACACAGCAGACACACATACACACACACACGCACACACACTTCCCTCAGCCTTCATAGGGTAAGGACGTGTGTAGTCGGAGCTGCACGCTAACGCGGCCGTGGTCTCTTGATCATGGAGACAGCTGCCAGCCCGGTCTGTCGGGCCCTCCCCTCCCCCATCTCCTCCTTCCCATCTGGATTTATCCTCACACCAACAGTACAGTGCAAAGATTGACGATCAACCCACAAGTGATATACAAAAGTGGCAATTTTAAGTCGAAGGAAAAACACAAAAACACAGCAATACTGAGTGTGGCTGGATCTGACCTAACCTGACCTGACCTCACGGCTTCACCTGACCTAACCTGAAGGATGGAGCACACCTGCATTGCCCCAAGCTACTGTCCTGGCCACACACCTGTCCAACCGCATCCAGCCCATACGAGCACGAACTGATTGCTACAAGAACAGCCCAGTCCCAACCATTGTAAAAATTATCAACACCTAATTATTATACATCATATTTGTATCACTTATGTTGCTTGTACATCATATTTGTATCACTTATGTTACTTGTACATCATTTGTAAATCAAGAGAACCATTCCCCAATTGTGTAATTGTATATTTTCAGCCTTCCGGCTGTCATTCTCTTTCAATAAACCGTTAATTATTATTATTATTATTATTATTATTATTATTATTATTATTACACTCACAAAGGGGCATTCCAATACCATTGTCCACAGCTTCGTAAACGCTTGGAAGGATAAAGAGCAAAATTGTCAAACATGAACGCCCTCTACTAAAGCCATACGGAGTCACTAATCAACTTGAATTTATCAATGTAATTACGAATGCAACACACAATCACTGTTTCCAGTGACGTTCTCGGAATTGTTGCAAGACTAATTGGACGTTAGAGTGAGGTCTATTATTTGTCATCCTCCAGGTCAGGTGTTCCTGCTGAGATTGTACCGTGTTGAAAATGTTCTGGGCATGTACAGTTCCATCAAAACATTATCGAAAACTTGAGGCGTGTTGATATTACCACTCGGAATAAAAAATTAGGTTAGGTTTAATTATTTTCTGGCTCGAACGGCGCATGCCCAGAACATTTTCAGCACGGTACAATCTCAGCACATGACATTGGTATTAGTGACCTATTGAACTATATATACCGTCAGGACTTGACGACTTAATTGCTTTTAATTGATCTCTCTCTCTCTCTCT